CCCCGCCGCCGGCAGGGCGGCAGCGAGTCGTTGGTAGCCACCGAGCGGCGGTACCCCCTTATTTTCCAAAGAAATCGCAATCCGCAGGCAATAACTAAGTAAGGACGCTGAGGTCAGGTCTTCAGGGGTCTTACGACTTCACAGAAGTGGCAAGTTAATGATGAAAAATGCCTGTCTACCAACGAGGCCCAACTTTGGTGGTTTTTTTTTTTGTGTGGTGGGTTTTTTTTGTTTTTAAGGTTTCCTTCCTGTCCCCCATGTAATTAGTTTTGTAATACAGAGTGGTAAAAATACCGTGCTTGTTGAAGCTCCTTGCACCAGAACGTCTGAACCGACAAGACTGGCGGCATCGGCAAGCACCGGGTGGTGCCTCTCGCAGTCCTGCCGGCATGTAGGTCATCCCTGCGGTTTTCAGCTTCGTAGCACAAAAAGCTCCTGGTGCATCGATTGCAGAGGTGTCTTCTTGTGTACGCGGATGTCCTGGGTGCTGTAACTGTTGCCTGACGTAAAGGAAGAGGTTTTTCAATTTACTGTGCCTCTGTGGTTAGGAGAATATTGCTGTTGGGCGATAGCTTTCCTTCGTCTATTACTTTATAGCTATGCCAAACACTAACAGTGCCTTCATCCGTAACAGGTTTCCCTCCTGAGTTAGCAGTGGCCTCAAATGCTGGAAAGATTATCTCTCGTAAGCCTACCACTTAGAATCTTTCTTAATAAACTTAATTGTCTTCCTTCTTGACCTTCCCCACCTCATTTAGGAAGGTGCGTTCATCTCTGCGGTGAGATTCTGGCATCAAAGCAAACCTCCCCCTTGCTGCCTGCTTCCCGTAAGCGTGGCTTCTCTGTACATCTTAATCTTCCCACTCTTGCAGGTTCTCCTCTTTGCCTTTCTCATTGCAGAAAGAAAAATCAAGCCAGTTTTGCAGCGCGTGAGCGCTGTAGCAGTGTTACTGCTCTAGAAAGCTAGATAAAACAATTTGAACAGTAATATGCATATAGATAGGCTTTGCATTTGTACATAGCCACTAGCTGCAACCACATAGCTTTTTCGTTCTGTTGCATAAATAATTGTTGCTTCTTACCTATTTATTCATTGCTAATAAATCTCCTTTCCCTTAGGGCTAGGTAGTAGAGCTGCACTATTTTTGCATTTTAACTCCTGATAACAGCCATAGTCTTCCTGCTTTTCCCTCCTGCCAGAACAGCTCCATCGGCTTCCCTCTTAGGCAGCAGGATTTTCCCCTGGAGGCCGTTGAATTGCCTCTGTCTGCTTGTGTCCAGGTGTCTTGAATAAAGTCATAGAGTCCTATTTGCAGTGAAAAGCTTGCAGGGGTAAAGAAACAGCTGGAAATGTGGACGAGCAAGCATTATACAGCCAACGAGTTTGCAAGAATTGCACTAAATCTTTGTAGCGCCACATCTTGGCAATGGCTAGGTTAGAGTTCAACTGAAAACAAGCATGACTTGGTAAAGGCTTTTTGTAAATAGCTGCTCTTGTTTGCGAGGCAGGTCAGTGGGGTCAGAACAAAAAACCACCGTATCCAGCCAGCACAGCAATGGAGGAAGGGCAATTAAAGCGTGAAGGAGACCCAAGGAAATATTTCACCATGCACTTCCCCCTCCAAAGGTCTGGTTCTTTTACTTTGCGGCCTCCACAGCTAATTTGAATGGCCCTCCTAGTTCAAATCTTGAGCTGAATTAGGCCAATAGTCCACAGCTGAGTTTATGGAGTAAGAATGGAAGTGTCTGTAAAGCCAAAAATGGTCGTGTAAAAGTTCGAAAGTTCAGAAAACCTAAGAACAGAAGAGATAAACGGCAAGACCAAAAAGACTTTGCTTAACAATGGATTTATTTAAAATAGAACTGGCACTCTCGGCTTTGCTCTGCTGTCCTCTATTCTCTCCCTCCTCAGAGGGCTCCCTTCTTCAGAGTTGAGCTGGTACATACATTTCCAGGCTCTGAAATCTGGGAATGTAAGATGAGCCATATTTTAAAAGCAGTAATCCATGTTAAGCATGCATCCAAGGGCTAAGGGAAGTTGAGCAAAGATTTTTTTTTTTGTTAGTTTCAAAAGCAGAGGCTTAGCTGAGAACCAGTAAACAACCAGTGCTACTGGTGCTTATAAGAGTATTTACTGCAATAAGTAAAGAATACTTAATTTACTAAAAGCATACCAAGAAGTTAATGTTGGCAATGAATACAAAAACAGATCTTGAAGGGGTTAGGGAGAGGAACAAAAGAGAAGTTTTGACAATATAAATTCATTTTCCATGCCAAAATATGCTCTATGCTACTTTCTTTCAGTAAAAAGCTTAGACTTTAGTCACTTTCAATTTAAGTATGTCCTCTTGGTATGAAGCACATGAAGTAAAAATAAAAAATAGGGTGACCTAGAGGCTGGGGAGCCATCTGCTTCCGTCCTATTTCAGAATTGCAGGCCTGTGCTGTGAACTCTTCACATTGTGCATTTATGCCGAAGCATGTTTCTCTTCCTCTTTCCTAGGGAAATTCCAGTCCCTCCAATGCTGGAAGGCGAAGTCAGGGTAGCAGGATAGGAAACAGAAGTATGTTTAAACATTTATAGTCCTAAGCTCCAAGTTCAGCGCCACTACTATACGATGCCACGCTGTAAAAGCCCGCGGTGTGGAGCGGTGGAGGAATCGTTTTGTAGAAATGCATTACCCTTGTTGTTTGGGTGTCACATAAAGTCCCTTCCCTCTCCTCTTTGCTGACAAATGAGATTTTATATACCAGGGGTCCAAAATCCTCTGGTCACATACTCTAAGCATGTCTGGCTCAGGGCCGCTTTGGAATGGAGGTGAGGACAGAGAGAGGGCATGTCGAAAAAAAGCCTAATATTGCGTGTGTGGTAAGAAAGAAAACTGGAAATTTAGTCGTGGAAGGAGACAAGGCGGCAAGTATTCCTGGGCCAGCATGGCAGCTTGTCTGGCTGTAGATCAGAAGGCAGGATGCTCACACTGCAAATTTGGGGGTTTTGCACTTTTTTTCTTCCTGGTAGGGGCATGGTCAGTTGTAAAAGTTTTCTTTGAAGAGAAGAGAGCTAGGTACGAGCCAGTTCTTGCACCGCAGTCATGGTATTTCTGCTACTAAATTGTAGGGTTGGGTCTTTGACTCATGCTGTTCTTGGTCTTTCCCTCTCTCTTAGGAAGCTTCTCTCGTGCCACTTGGCAGTCGTTGTTTAGAGGGACACAATGTGCAGAAAAAGTGTCTGGCTTTGCTAGGTCATCAGCTTTTATATGCTGAAATCCTAAATGGTGGTGATGTTTCTTGCAAGCAAACTATTAACATCTGTTTCTCTTGACTCAGCATAGTGTAGTTCACTGAAAGCTTGTTCCACTGGAATACTTACTGGTGAAGACATCACTTTTCTTTCATCTGGTAACATCAGTAGAAGTAACAAGTGGCTGTTATTTAAAAGCGTGGAAAGATGTGGTGAGTGAAATGCAAATGCTTCAGGCATGGGGAAAAGGCATTCGGGTCAATGGTGTCTGACAACTGTAGTGCTTCTTTGAAAGACAAGTCATTTGAGGTGAATATTAAAAGCTTGGGTGTTTGTGCATGGTTCATATTTCAGGCTCTGTATCTTTGAAGAGAAAAGGGTAATTCCAGTGGTCGGGAAACCTGATCCCTGATGGAGGGAGATGCTCTGCCTTCAGTGAAAATATTGCGTTTTGGGACTGCCGCTCACAAATCCCCTTGCTGTGAAACCTGTTCAGTCAGCCCCTTTCTGCAAGTTTCTCCAGAAAGAAAACTGACAGGGTTAAGGCTACTCTTTATCAGAAGTTCCTTGTGTGTACTATGGGCATCACGTATCACTACGTAGCTGTAACAGAAAAGAGGGTATAGTTTTCCTTATAAGTGTTCTGCATTGGAGATAAATGTCGGAGCAGCAGAAAGCCTGCTGCAGATGCTTCAACTACGGAGGCTGGCATGGTGGCATCCTTCGGCTCCATAAAGAGTTGTGTGTAATTTGTGGTTGTGTGAAATCACCCGTCTAGCTGCTGTTGCCTGAATTATTATGTGGCGATCCAGAAATCTCTATCTATGTTTCCCAGGCATGGCTGGTAGGAGATGCTACTTCCCATGCTGCTTTCTGCTCCAGCCTTGTTCCTACTGTCTTTGGACAGTGAGGGTGGGGGAGCATTCATCCAGCAGTTCCCCTCCTGAAAGGCTGCAGGAGGGAGCTGGAGGTGTTTGTCCCAAGCAGAAAAGGGAGCGGGGTCTGTTTCTCCAGCCTCGTGGCCCACGGGTGCCACGCCTGACGCTGGATCTGGAGGCTGCGTTCAAATCGTCCCGCAGTCTTGCTCCTTACGCTGGGTGTCGTATGTGCATGGTGGAGCTTTCTTGAAGAAAATGCAGCGTGTAACAGGCAAGGCTCTGCCAGCCTCCGCGGCGAGGGGGAGACGAGGCAGCCTCTGCAGCACAAGGACGGTGATCCGACCCCACGTGTTCAGATCCCACAGCCTCCTGTGGCTCTCTTCCAAGTACCTCATGGTCCACAGCAGTGTGTGTGTTCTGTACACAGAGATTAAATGTGGCACGTGTTGGGTGTGTGACGGAAAGAATATTTTTCTACAAAATTTGATAAAAGAGCCTGTGCTGAAGAGGCTGGAAGCTGGGCGAGGAGGGAATGGTTCATTTGAAGATGCATGTTTTGCTTTTCCAGAAGCTGTAAAGAACCATGGCTAAAGTTTCCTGTGAGCAAACTGCAGCTACGTTCATGCTTCCTTGCAGCTTCAGAGATAATTTATCCCAGAGAAGACAACTGGAGTGTTTTCCTGGTACAAGCAGTTTAAATTCACCTTGAATTAGTGGAAAGCACTTACTACGGTTGCAGAAAACATGGGTGGATTTGGGCAAACATGGGGAATAACACTGGGGAACATCAGGCGTAGGATAAATTATATGTGCTGTAACAGCAAGGTTTGAATCAGTGAGCAACGACAGTAATATAAAAACCCAAGGGTGTGGAAATCTGATTCTTTGGCAATTTTTGTTGGGAGAAAAAGATTGTGCTTCCTTGTCTGAAACAAAGATCCGTTGCAAATGTGCTTTTAAGGCTGAAACCGTTACTGACAGCGGCCTGCTTGCTTCACTTGCTTTCTTCTGTGAGACATTTGTGGCAGAGAGGGGGGTGCTGAGAGTATGACAGGTATTTTATGCAGCTTGGCTGCTGTAGGAGGCCCTCCCACCCCTACTCTGCTCAGTGCTTTATGTGGCGTTTGCCAGCAGGAGTCACGTGGGTGCGTATTCCAAGCGTGCCTGGCAAAAGGCGTCTGAAACGACAAGGACATAGAGGGACCGGAGGGTGCCAAGGGATGCTGCCAGCATAGGCTGGCACAAGTGTCACCTGGGCAGCACAGCGCTGGAGACTTGGCCCTCCGTAGCCAGGGGAAGGGGTGCAGTGGCACGGCCTCATGGTGCCACGGCAGCACGGCTGGCTTCCCATCAGAAGGTTTGCGCGTTCAAGTCACACTGGGGTCCCGGCGGGCCCCCCAAGGCTGCTCCCACTTTTGGTGCTGGCTGGAGGGGCTCAGAGGACACGTGAGGATGTTCGGCTTCTCTCTGGGATAAATGCTGTATTATTCGAAAAAGACCTGTAACTGCAGCTCCTTGGGGTTTCAGAAAAATCAGGCTGCAACGTTTGTGTCCGTCTCATCTAGATTATTGTCTTGGACTCAATTGTTACTCACACAATAAAGGTGTTTTTTGGGTTTTTTTCCCCCCCCGCTGCACTCTTTGCACCTGGTAAGGGCAGCGTAAATTTGTTTTGTTCTGTTTTTATGTGTAGAAGATGTTCTTATGCATACCACAGATGCTGAGCTTATCCCAACAGAAGCAAACCAGGAGTGTGCTACAGCGCGTAAATGCCACCAGAAGCACTTTGTCCTTGTCTTGGAACAGAGAAAGAAGTTTGGGTGCTGTAATGCCACTGACTCCAGATCACATGGTGGTATTCTGAATCATGCTGAAGCTATAGTTTCTCTGTCATTTTTCTTTTCTCTCTCTGCTTCCAAGCCACTCCACAGCTTCAAGAGGGAGAAAAAATGAGTCAGAGAAGGCTAGGGATAGTTCTGGTGAGACTTGAGACACTGCCCTTGCACCCTCTACTCGTTCTTCAGAGATAAAGCCAGTTTAAGGATTTCCCAAATTGCATTTCACTCCCTGTGCTGGGTCTGGCTAGGATGGAGTTAACTTTCTCCATAGCAGCCCCTATGGTGCTGGGTTTGATTTGTGACCAAAACAGTGTTGATAGCACACAGTGTTTTAACTGTCACTGAACAGTGCTTGCATAGCGTCAAGGCCGCCTTTGTTGCTCACTCTGCCCTCCCAGCAACTAAGGCTGGGGGTGGGCAAGAGGGGCAACAGCCAGGGCAGCTGACCCCAGCTGACCAAAGGGACGTGCCGGGCCCTGTAGCATCACTCTCAGCAATAAAAACGGGCTGGGCGGGTGGTTTCTTCCAAAGTCGCTGTTGCTCGGAGACTGGCTGGGCGTTGGTCTGCTGGTGGGAGGTGGTGAGTGATTGCCTCTGCATCACTTATTTTTGTTCTTTTTCTTCACTTATTAAACTGACTATCTCAACCCATGAGTTGTTTTTTTTTCTCAGTTTCACCTTTCTGATTCTCTCCCTCGTCCTGCTGGGGGGGAGCGAGTGAGCGACTGGGTGGGGGCTTCGCTGCTGACTGGGGTCAACCCACCACACTCCCTCTTTCCCATCTCAGTCCCCAGTATCAGCAGCTTCTTGCTGAATGCAATGTCCTGTAATTACTAAGTATTCTGCCTTGGGGAGGGGTGAAGTGTGGGAGAGAGGGAGATGGTGCAGGGCTCTTTCTGCATCTGGGCAAGAAAGGTCCAACAAAAAATGGCTTAATAAAATAGCCATTTTAATAAGACAGAATAAAAAGAGGAATATAGATAGTGAGCAAACCTTATGGCCCTTCTGACGCTGGGCACCATGTGTTGGTTCAGCAAGGGATGGAACCTGCATGGATTTTCCCGCAGCATGCTGTGCAGATCCTGTCCGTGGAGACATTCCTCGCTTCTGGTCCTTCAAGCTATTATATATTTTCTTACAAGAAAACAGCTCTACTCCTAAAGGCTGTTGACGTGAGAACTTCTGGCTGCACTGTTAGACACGGGCAAGGGTGCGCAGCGGGTGGTGTGGCACGGGAGCTGCCTGCAGGCTCCTCTGCTGCAGCCAGCGGGCTGAGGTGACCCTGTGGCCACGGCACACGCGCAGTGCCATACGAAGAGCACGTGGGGAAGAAACGTTTCTAGTCAGCTGGACCTATTTGACAGAAGAACAGGCTGTGGGTTAAGCAGTCCTGCTTCAACTTCTTGCCTGTGTGGTATGTTGTTTGTTTATTTCTCCGCTCACATGAACTTTGCCTGTTGTTTCAAAGCTGTAATGGTTTGAAGAAGGGTTCATGTATCTCTGCCAGCTGTCAGGTTGATTCCTGCTTCTCCAGCATGTTTGGTTTGGGGCTTTTTCTTCATTTTTCTGTGGAGATGGAGCAGTCCAAGTACAGAGAGGAGTCTAATCAGCTCAGCCTGCGCGGTCCTTGCTCCCGCTCCCCGGTGCAGAACATACCACCGCTGCCCAGAGATGGGCTTGGAGGCTGGGCACGTTTGTCAGAGGTCCTCCTTGGAAGTGCAGAGGGGGTTCCTTTGCGTGCCGGTGGGTGCTCCACCCATGCTTATACTCACTGCTCTATGTTTACAAAGACCAGTGCAGAAGGAGAAAGAAAAAGTAGTGAAGATGTGCAATAAAAGTGTCTCCTGTTAACACTAGCTTGATTCTGTCCATCAGTTGCAAAACCAGGGGCTCATCAGTGTTTGAAGGGGCCAGGAGGTAGCTTCTGCCACCAGTTGCAGTGTGGTTGCTTTAGAAAAGCAAAAGTGGAGAGGACAGCTGATTTAGCGATAATGCATCTGGTAGGAATGGCCAATTTCAAGGTACTTAAGACCCATTTACTTGTTTTATGAGCAGTACAGTGAATATTTCTTTTTAATTTCACTGAGACTATTCTACAACTATAGTTGTAGAATGAGACATAATGTGCTAATTGAAGGGAATTTGGCTACCGTAGGAATTCACGTAATCTTTATGACAACATTTATTATGCAATGTGTTCAAGGAGTGACTTAGAGCTTATCTGCACTGTGTCTTTCGCCTATGTCTTGCAGGGACTTCCTATGCTTGCTTCAATGCAACAACATTTCTCTAATGTAGAATATAAAATAATTTTAATAGTCATCTTTCAAAATCAATTGACAGAACAACAGACTGGTTAGAAGACTTGCAGCAACCTGCTGTTTTTGCTACTGCAGTAACTACAAGTGAAGCACCAACAGCCCCCCTCCTCCTGTAAAAAACTGCAAAGTAGCTCAGGCTTCAGTCTTGAAACTGGTCCAACCTTGCGTGGTTGATTCCTGTGTCCTGTTGGCCCTAGTGTCCTTCTGCTAGGAATATGTCTACATGGAGCCAATTGAAGAAACAAGCTTCTGCTTACTCTTCTAATTCAGTGGACCTATTTGCAAAACAAAACCTTATATAATAATTTTTACCACCTCTACCAATGTTAAAATCCCTTTGAAAACATCCCAAGTCTGTTTACCACTTTCAGCTTGCTTAAACTGTATCCAAAGATACAACAGGAACATTTCTTAACAGGTATAATCTCTATCAGATTTCCTAATCTGGAATTAATCAAAGTTCTTGTTATGGTTGGAGGTTTAGGGACTACGCTGTCACCAAAATGTTAACTGCTAGGAGCTAGTTTGTAAAACTAGGTGGCTAGAGCTGCTCACAAACTCAGTTTCAATTCTCCTAAGCAGTTGTCATAAAAAGAGTACTATTAGTCTTCAAGGAAGACTAATCTTCACTGGTGTGAAACATACTGCCTGCTGCTATTTTCTGAATGGGTAATGCAGTCTAGCAAATGGAGATTTTTTTTAAAAGGGGGAATTTTGCCAGTCCGTGGGGAAAAATAAATGCACCTGTTCTTTTTCTCCTCACTCAAAACCAGAGGATTGCTGTCTGGCAGCGAAGCAGTACTGTTTCCATGGTAGGCTCTGCTTTCACACCAAGGAAGCGGTCCTTCGAGCTCCCTCTCAGTTACTACCGACCAGCCCAAGAAAACTAGTTTGATGTAAAGCCTCACAAGGCTGAGCGTTCTCACCAGGCTGCACTCAGACCCGCAGGCTGCAGAACTCCTCCTTGATGAGGCGAGACTCTCTTTGATCACCCGTTATCTCCCAAGCTTTAGATAAATCTTCTCCAGGGGACGCTCCTACTGGAGTCTTGCTGGGTCTGTCGTGGCTGGATATTCTGTGTGCTGGGCTGTATGTTATGCCGGAGTCAGCGAGAACTTAGGATGGCACCACTGCCAGAGGAGTTGCCCCTGGCTGCTTAGAGTATTGAGAGACCTGAACGGTCCCTCCCTGGTGCTGGCACAAGCTTTTCTGCAGCTGCTCAGCCGAGGAGTTCAGGCCAACCCGTCGTTCCTCCCCCCACCCAATGCCTGGCATCGCTAGTCAGTTTAGCTTACATCGGTGGATTAACTCCTGAACAAGTTGGACATTTTTCAGTGACCAAAACTGAACTACATTCACACAGCAACATGCTGTAATTCAGCATTTGCACTCTCACGATATCAAGTAAGGGCAAACAACCTAAGTTAAGGCAGTTGTCTGTTTCCAGTTGAGTACTTTAGAACCTTAATATTGTATGAAATTTGTTATCACATACACTTAAAAGTGTCCTGGAATTATTCTGGAAGCTAACCTGGAGAAGTGGTGTCCGCCTGGGCAGTTTCTTCTACGTAGGTAACCATTACTTCAAAATACCTATTTCCTCAAGATAATTTCTCAATGTTTTCTCAAAACACTTGTATTTACATGAAAAAAAAGTTTGCTTCCTAATGTGGGCTACTCTTATTTTCAGCCTGAGCCTTGTTTAGACCTTTGCGCTTAAGGAAAAATAATGTGACAAGGGGTCCCAAAAAAAGTTGGGAAAGAAGCTGGCATAACTGCATGATTACAACAACGCACAAGTGATATGTGGGATATGAGCCATTAAATAATAAAATATGTTTTAAATTATGCAGTTTATACATAATTTGATTGTTATACGCTCTCTGAATGAGTCAGATGCTCCGAAATCAAGAACTTCAGGCTTCTTATCCAAAAATCAGAATTAAAGACTTCCACTGGGTATTTTTAACTTTGACAATCAAACTTTCAGGCCTGCGGACTGAAGTAGAGCTTCATTCGAGTAGCAGAGCTACTACTTCCCTGCAGGAAAGGTGAGTCCTAGTGTTAGCACTGGCCACCTCATCTACGTAGGAGCTTGTTTTGGATGTTTGTGTGATGGTACCCCAAAAATGGTCTTTGAAAAATACACCCTGCGGTCGTGTGCAGGTTCATGTGCTGCATGTACGCCGCAAAAACTTGCCAGGTGCCAGAAACGGTTGCAGTTGAGTAAGGTGCTGCTATGCAGGAAGTCAACACAAGGCTCCACAGGCCCTGAAAGAAACATTTCTTTCTATTTTTAATTCAGCTCCTTTCCATTAAAGACTCACAACAAACATTTGCAGTCGCTGATATACGACACAAAATAGTACACCGTTCAGTTGCAGGAAGACCCACTCTCACCTGTTGGATGAGCAGCAGGAGCACGTACAAGGAAAGAAGCACCATGCCTGTGACAGTATTACCGGGAGCCCAAGGAACGGGCTCCGAAGACGGTTGTGCAGCCACGGTTGTGCAGCCACGTGTAAGGTTGGACGGACGAAGCACCCTTTTTAGTGTCGCTGCAGGTTGCCACCACCTCGGGCGGCCGTTTGAGGATGCAGCGGCCCCGCTATCCATCTCCTCGTAGCATCCGTGTGCAGCACTTGTCATTGCTCCGCTGGCCCGGTGCAAACAGCAGCGAAGCCTCGCTGACCGCTTCGGGCAGAAGGTGCACGCTTTCCCTCCCCCTGCCACCTTTGCCCTCGTGGGAAAAAGCCCCTCTCTCTCGGAAGGAAGGAGGACGGGCCGGTTACCGTTGGGTTGCACGGAGTTACGGAGCGACTGCGATTTGGAGAGCCACTGAAATGTAATTTTCACGCAGCGTGACGGAGTTTCCCGCAACTCTTCAGGAAAAGGAGGGAGGCGGAGACAGGGCAGCAAGACCCGGGACAGCGCCTAGGGCCAGCGAGCGGAGGGAAGGGCCCGCAGGGACGCCCGGCGCCGCCTCTCTCCCGGGGGGGCTGGGCGGCGGGGGGGGGGG